TAAATTGTTTTTTTTTTTTTTTTTTTTTTTTTTAAGTAATTTTGAGCTTTGTTGCACATATTCTGCCACTCTATCCAGGACCTTCTAATGTGATCCCGTTGAGAATGGTTGGTAGTGGTGGCTGGGCACCATCTAGTTCTTCTGGTCTCAGAGTCATGGAGATTGATGTTGTTCACAGGTTTCATTAGTCTTTTGGACTAATTGATTCCAAGCATCTTCAATTCTCATCAACAACAACAGCAACATTCATTCTTCCACACATGGAGAGACCTATAACTGCACGTTAGACGGCCATTCATGAGCTTTTAATATCCCAAAGTAGGATGTAGAACATCTAACAAGTTTTCATCTTTTCCCTGCTGTCTATTCCACCACATTCATAGCTGTGTTTGCAGGAAAGGTAATTACTCATGTACTAATAACCTCTTTCAAACGTTTGAATATCTTGTTGTTAAGTACCTTCTAGTTGACTCTGAACCATAGTGACCCTGTATAGGATTTCTGAGGATTGATTGGTGAGTTTGAATCACCGACCTTGCAGTCCAGTGCTTATGTTACAGCTCCACACCCGGAGTCAGTTTATCTATCTACCTATCTATCTATCTATCTATCTATCTATCTATCTATCTATCTATCTATCTATCTATCTATCTATCTATCTATCTATCTGTTGTTGTTAAGTGCCATTGAGTCGGTTCCAACTCATAGCAACCCTGTATAGGGTTTCCATGGCGTGACTGGTGTGTTTGAACTTCCAACCTTATGGTACAAACTGACCTTTCAGTCCTATGTTATCCTACAACATATATATGTTGCCTTATTTACTTCTATCAACTTGAGCCCTTGTATACCTCCCTGTGTCTTCCCTATCTTCATCATTCTACCTCCAACTTCCCTGTTCTTGTATATTCTCCTTCCCCTTCTAGTATACTGCCCCCGCTTCACCTAAGTTAACCTGTGTTTACCATCTAGCCAGTGAACTACTCTCCCTTCCCTCCCAACCCTAGCAAACAATCAAAGAATGTTTCTTTTTTCTCTTTCAAACACTTATATTTCCCATTCTGCCTCACCCATTCAGCCTATATCTCAATCCATTTATCTATCCACAGAACACTGTTGGTCCAAGACTGTGTATATATTACTATTTACCTCTATCCCATTTAGCCCATGCATGCCTCCCTGTAGCATAGTGGTTACGAATTGGGCTGTGAGCCGCAAGGTCAGCAGTTCGAAACTACCAGCTGTTCCGTGGGAGAAAGATGAGGCGTTCTGCTCCCGTAAAGATTTACAGCCTCGGAAACCCTGTACAGGGTCGCTATGAGTCGGAACCGACTCCACACCACACAACAACAACATGCCTCCCTGTGTCTTCACCTATCTTCCTCATTCTTCTTCTACCCTCCCTCTCTTATATGTTGCCCTTCCCATCACCTGAGTTAACATGTGTCTACCCTCTAGCCAATGAATTACTCTCTCCTCGCTCCCACCCTTGAGAACCATCAAAGAATTTTTCTTTTAGTCTAGAATCCTTTTCTTAAGCATTTACAATAATGGTATATCATACCATATTTGTCTGTTTACAATTGACTAATTTTACTCAGCATAATGTCCTCCAGGTTCATTCAAGTTATGAGGTGTTTCACAGATTCATAATTATTCTTCAAGATTGCATAGTATTCCATTGTGTGGATGTACCAAAGTTTGTTGCTCCATTCTTCTATTGTTGGACACTTAGGCTGTCTCCGTATTTTGACTATTGTGACTAGTGCTGTAATGATCCTCAGTGTGCATTTATCTATTTGTGTTCTGGCTGGTATTTCTTGTGGCTATATACCAAGCAGAGGGATTGTTGGGTCATAAGGTATTTCTATTTCCAACTTTCTGAAGAAGTGCCAGACTCTTCATACCTTTGTCAGCATTTGTTGTTTTCTGTTTTTTTAACTTCACTGTTAATGTTGGTGTGAGATGATGTCTCATAGTTGTTTTGATTTGCACGTTTCTAATGGCTAATGATCGTGAATATTTCTTCATATATTTGTTGGCTGCCTAGATGTCTTCCTTGGAAAAGCATCTATTTATGTCTTGTGTTCAGTTTTTAATTGGGTTGTTTGCCTTTTTCTTGTAGAGGTATTGTAGTTTTTTTATAAATTTTAGATATTAGTCCCTTGTCTGATAAATCATTAGAAAGAATGTTTCCCAATCTGTGGATTCCCTTTTCACTCTTTTGGTGAAATCTTTTGATACACATATGTGCTTGATTTTTAGGAGGTCCTAGTCATCTATTTTGTCTTCTACTGCTTGTGTATTTTTTGTAATGTTTAATAGTCTATGTATGTCATGTACTATAGCCCCTACTTTTTCATTGATGACCTTTATAGTTCTAGGTTTTGCATTTAGGTCTTTAATCCATGTTGAGTTTGTTTTTGTATATGGTGTGAGGTATGGGTCTTGTTTCATTTTTCTACAAATTGATTTCCAGTTTTGCTAGCACCATTTGTTGAAGAGGCTATCTCTTCCCCATTTAATATGTTTTTGCCTTTTGTCAAAGATCAGTTGACCATATGTGTTATTATTGTTAAGTGCCATCGAGTTGGTTTTACTTCTGAGTTCTCAGTTCTGTTCTACTGATGCATATATCTTTCTTTATACCAGTATCAGGCTGTTTTGACCACTGTAATTGTGTAGTAAATTTTGGGATCAGGGAGAGGCCTACAACTTAGTTTTTCTTCTTAAGCAGTGCTTTGCTTATTTGAGGTGTTTTTCCTCTCCATATAAAGTTCGTGATCATTTTTTCCATCTCTTTAAGGAATCTGGATAGGGATTATGTTATATTTATAGATTGTTCTGGGTGGCATTGACATTTTCATAATGTTAAGTCTTTGTATCAATGAGCATGGTATATTCTTTCATTTTGTAGATCTCTTTTAGTTTTTTAAAGTAGTATTTTGTAGTTTTCTTTGTATAGGCTTTTTGCTTCTCTGGTTAGATTTATTCCTAAATATTTCATCTTTGGGTAGTTATTGTTAATTCTATTGTTTTCCTAATTTGCTTTTCAGAGCTGTCTTTTTTAGTATGTTGTTGTTATTAAGTGCCACCAAGTCCATTCAGACTCATAGGGATTCTGTATAGGGTTTCCAAGGAGTGTCTGGTGAGTTTGAACTGCCAACCTTGTGATTCAAGCTGACCATGTGGTCCAGTGTTTATCCTACAGTGCCACACCCGGACTCAATTTGTTAGGATAGGGGAATCCAATTGGTTTTTGTATCTTATACCCTGCCAATTTACTGAATCTTTCAATCAATTCC